ACAAAGGTACAACACAGTCGCAGTCTGAAGCAGAGTTTATTTTATTTGGGAGGGATGATGCATTTGAATAAAGTTCTAATACATCAACAAATGGGTTGCACATTATATATAAAGCTATAAAGTATAAAGCTTTTTCTCATTTTTAACTCTCGTTCCTGATTGGGCCTCCACACTTCAGTGTAGTTGAATATACAGCATCTATTGTTATAAAAACACATAACAATACAGGTTTGAAATACAATTAAACATATAATATACAAATGTACACATTATTTACTCCAGTTCAAATTAGTTAGTAGCCTATGTGTTATCACATTTGCTTGTTTAACATTTGTAAGATTTTTATTCAATGGCTGAACAGCACCAGTCACATCAGGGATTAAGATATGTGACACCGCTAGTTCACACACACATGGAGGGTCTTTCAGTCCTCAGCACGACGTCTGTACATCTTTTTCTGACTGTGTGTAAGTCTTCTTTAAATGTGACACGATTGAACATTATATTCATGCTTAATGCCATCTTTTAGTCTACTCCTTCACAATTCCAATAATATCCAACATGTGAAAGAAAATATGTGTGGGAAACACAGTGACATGACTTTCAAATAGTAATTTCTGCTGACAATATTTCCCTTTTTTAAATAATTACTTTGGATTTCTTTCTCCAAGTAGGACCTAAAAGAGCCACAACTAGTCCCAAAATAAGCCGCATGTGGCCCGAGAGCCTCGGGTTGAGTATCACTGCACTAGGAGATGCCTCAAGTAAACCTTAAAACTAGCCTACAAAATGATCAAATATTTGGACAATATACCAAACATAAGACATAGCTGCTTTAGCCCACTATCAGGTATACATACAATACAGAGGTATTTTGAATGATAGATGAAGGTGGAGAAAGATGAACAGCTCCGATCTTTGTTGTCCAAAAATATACCATAGAAACAGAAAACAAAAAGCCAATAAAAACACTGGACAAAGAAAATCTTAAATCATGTAGTTATAAAGGGACAGGGTGTCTATAACATATTGTTTTATCTAATGTCTTTGCAGGTGACTGTGTTCCCGGAGAGGTGGAGGAGCCGCCAGCTCAGCCTCAGACTCAGGTACTCACAATACATGTATCACTTACACCTAAATTTTCTGATCCTGTGTCTTCATATTTGTATTAAAAAACACTTTAGCAAATGTAATACATTGATACATGTGAACAAAACAAGAACAGAAAAAACGTTTTTTTTAGTATGCTTTAAGAAATCACCTTTGTGCCCCTTACAGCAGGTGCAGTGTTGTATTCTGTATGTAATGTGTTGTTTCTAAAAGAAAATATAAATCCTTTTATGCAGTAGGACTAATATTTAGCAGCAGTAGCAGCTAGCTGTACATTTATATAGGAACTCCTGATATAATGTAAAATAATGATAATGCTATTTAGCAGACTGTCAAAATTGAAGGAAATAAAAATGAGCACCTCGTGATGTCATAATATGAACTTCTTCATGGGCAGGGGCCAACAGGGGCCAGTGTCCCTGGAACACTGCGCTTGGTCCCCCCTGTGGCCACCCCTCCAAAAGGAAGAGCCCCCCTAATAACACATACACAGTATTAGACTAAAAAAACGGACTCACAATCTAGTATGAAATACTGTTACTGAAACAAATATTAATCATGGTCTTTAATGATGCGCACTATTATTTGGCATAATATATATATATTTTTTAAAGTGATCACCTTTGTCTATTTTTCACCTGGGGTTAATGTTCCCCTCTGACAAAACAACTGGCCCCAGTTTGGTCTAGAACTGCCACTGAACTTCTTAATGGCACAGAAACAATTTTAAATGAGCTTGAAGAAATATTAGGACATGTATGAACATAATAATTAAAACAAAATAAGGATACAAAAGTTACGAAAAGTAGTAGTTTAAATTGTGTTATTGTCCTAAGGTGAATTTAGATCAAGAATTGTGTATTTCAGAAGAATATATATTTGTACTGTTTGATGATCATGTTGCTTTGCATCTCTAACTGAGTCTGTCTTTGGATGTGATGCAGCGGAGAAAGAGAAACAAGGAGCTTACTCTGGAAACTGACGAGATGGAGAGTTCTGGTGATGATTCACCTCTCTTCAACTCAACCGGTAAGTGATCACTCTCTGGTAATAGGTTATACTCTGGTGCACTTGTATAACAGATTCACATTTTTAATGAAGGATATAAGATCCTGATTCTAATGTGGCAACCACTGTGTATCTAATCTCTCTGATTCTATATCTCTTCCCTGTCTCCTCCCATAGAGGCCTGTAATGCAAAACCAGAAACAGGGCCATGTTTCGGGCTGCACCAACGTTACTACTACAACTCCACCTTGATGATCTGTGAACTCTTCAAGTATGGAGGCTGTCTGGGTAACCAGAACAACTTTGTGACTGAGAGAGACTGCCTGCAGAGATGCCGCACTGAGGGTAAGGAGTGACATTCCAAAAAATACCACACATACTTATCAGATGACTTAAATGTGTCTGCTGCATCATCATATTCTGCATGTTGCTCAAATCTGTCAGATGTATTGGAGTTGGGCGGAAGCTCCAGAGCTTGTATTGTATTTAAACCATCCAATTTAAAATACAATGTGTCGGAGCTTGTATCGAAGATGAAACGTCATATGAACAGTTGGCTAAAGTTATGAATGTCACCGATGCTTTGAAAAGCTCTTCATTCAGCCTGACTGTTTGAATTTTTTTTACAAATGAACTGTGTGGTCGTTGTATTTTTTAGATAAGAAAGGGGTAGAAGGCGATGAACTTAAGAAAGACTCATTAATTACATCTCCACCTGATAGCAAGAATGTACTATAATGATTCAGCTTATTTAATAAAAGTCATTAACATAGATTGTACTGCATCACATTGGACTAAGAACTGTCAAACAATTATCTATCATCATGCCAAAGTCATGAGCCCCAAAAATGTTCTCATACAACTACACAATTGTATACTGTAATGCTTTACTTCAAAAGTATGAAATAATATCAACACAAGAATATTTTTTCAGTTGCAACAAATCACACTAAAGTGAACATTTTTCACAAGTATATCCACACAAAAGGATACAGAGAGGAATCTTGGATTTTTATTTCACACAATTATTAATAAAAACTGTGACTATAAGGGAAGTAGAGCTTCATAGAATTTTAAGAGGGCTGCTCTAACAAGCCAGCAGATGTCACTGTGTTTGCAGGCTTCATCTGCCCATCACTAGCTTTAGCAACTTAATTGTTGAGCCAGTAAAAGTTGCTGCAACTAAAGGGATGTGACCCCTCAGCGACTTCACTCGTACATACTGGTACCCTAGCTGCTGTATTAAATGAGGATCTGTGAAGAGAATTATTACTGGTGTGCTTTGTTTTGGGGTTTTCTAACAGACAGATGAAGCTGTGGCTTTGCTGTGAAAAGATAAGGAAAAGTCTCAAGTTAACATGCAAAGTCCTCTGTTGTCCTCTGTGTTCTCCCCAGCTGTGTGCCGTCTGCCCATGGCGGCCCAACCCTGCACAGGCCAGCCACCAATCTGGGCCTTTGACTCCTCTGTGGGTCTGTGTGTTCCTTACAAGCAGGGCTTCTGTCAGGCCAACGCCAACAAGTTCTACAGTAAGGCCGAGTGCGAGGAGTACTGCGGGGTGGTGAATACTGCTGATGGTGAGATTATAGAGGAGCTGTAAACAAATGACACAAACATGCATTCATTACCCAGCCAATTGCAAAGCCAGTGCATCAGGCACCTTTCAAATAATTTTCTTAACAACTCCCTTGACAATTGTATTTATCTGTACATCTAAAAAATAAAAATAATAAAAATTCCAACCCACACATATCGAGGCATTAATGTTTTCTTCTTTCCTCCTTTGCAGAAGCAGAGCTCCTGCAGGCAAACTGATTGAGATGTGGTCACATCACTTCATAAATCAAGATGGAGATTTGGTTTAGACATTAGGGTTGCACAATAAGTGGAGACGCTATGGAGGCCTCCTTGTAGACATTTTCAGCCTCAAAATTCTTCTTTTTTTTCATGCAATCTGGTGAATTGTTCATGTCATAATAAAAGTCCTTTGTCAAGGCACTTGTATGACCACCGATCATCAATAAAACACCACATTTCTCTGTTTCTCTGTTTTCTTTTCATGTGATTAGGGTTGCTCTTAAATGTTTAAATATATTTAATGGACTTCTGCTGATGTAGCAGCTTCATGGCACTTTTCAAATTCAAACAATAGACAGTCTGACTACTCAAAGAGCTTTTACACCGCAGGTCACACCTACCCATTCTCACCCATTCATTCACTGATGGCAGAGGTTGCTATGTAAAGTCTCCATCAGAAGTACATAATCCCATTAATACACATCCATACGGTTCTGACGAAGCAGCGGAGCAACTTGGGGTTAAGTGTCTTGCCCAAGAACACATCAAACCCCGCCTCTACAAACTGAGACACATGTTGTTGTAGTTGTTTGTTTCTCTCTCTTTCTGCATCTCCCCCTGTTCCACTCTTAGCCCATACAGCCAGATGGCTGTTAACCATTGAGTGTTGTTCTGCTTGATGATTCTGCTTGTTAAAATAAGTTTTTCTTGCCACTGTCGCCAAATGTTGCCAGTTGCTTGTTCAAGGTGGACTTCTGTTGGGAAGCTCCTTCTGTTAAATGTCCCTGAGATCACATTTGTTATGATTTGGTGCTATGTAGATAAAAATGGATTGATTCATTGACTGAAGTTCACTGGTGAATCAGTCCACCCATAACACCGCTGAAACAAATGATCAGAAATCATTGTTTTTTATAGACTGTATTTAGATTCATATGTTACCACATCAATCCCTCTAAACGAATACAACTAAGTGAAGAAATGTTATCTTTTTATATAGATTAAGTACGCCACTGTTTTTGGTCAAGGTTTAATAAATGCTAAGTCCCCACATCTCTTTCTGATCATCCAACAATGAACAACAATATTCAAAGTCAAGTAAAGAGTTGCTTTATTGATCATCTTTGTCATATCATGTTCTTTAAGTGCTTCAACAAAAAACAATAATGTATTTATTGTTTTCCATTTGTAATGCCTCTAATTGTATTTCTTTAAAGGTGTAGATTGTCAGCAGTGTCGCTCCTCATCTCACTCAGGTTCTCCTTCTTGAAACAAGCTATCCTGTTGATGTGTCTTCAAACAGGATCTCAGCAATTCTCACAAGTTTTGGTTTTAATGTGGGCTCTTCTGTCAAAGGGTTATAATAAAAATGATTAGGACAGTGAAAACTTGTTTATGTGAACTGAGGAGCAATTAAGTTGTGGTTGGGATTTCACTCCTCACCTTCAGTGTGACAACTATGCAGGCAGTCACTCTCAGTCACAAAGTTGTTCTGGTTGCCGTCACAGCCTCCATAGGTGAAGATTTCACAGTTCATTGAGGTGGAGTTGTAGAAGTAATGGTCTAAAAATTCCTTGCATGGACCTGTTTCTGGACCAAGCACACAAACCTCTGCAGCACGAGAGAGAGAGAGAGACAGAGAACATAACCATTAAATGTGTAATGGTTCAAGTCTTATGGTAAACAATGCAAGGTCTTTGAGGTGGATATGTAGAAAACTCTAAATATCTTGTAGGCTACATGCTGCTCCTGAAGTCTGTGCTCAAACCTCTACAGGAAAGAGAAGAAATACCACAGAGAGAGCAGATGACAACATAATGCCTCAGTGTTTAACATCACTGCACAACTTAGTATAAACTTACTATGGCATGAAGTTAATCACATGATGTATATTTATCACTTACCCGTTTTGTTAAAGTCAGTTGCATTAACAGCAGGAGCTTCAACGGCAGGAGCATCAACAGCATGATCATCAACAGCAGGAGCTTCAACAGCAGTTGCATTAACATCAGGAGCTTCAACAGCAGGAGCATCAACAGCATGATCATCAACAGCAGGAGCTTCAACAGCAGGAGCTTCAACAGCAGGAGCTTCAACAGCAGGAGCATCATCACAGCAGGAGCATCAACAGCAGGATCATCAGCAGCAGGAGCATCAACAGCAGGAGCATCAACAGCAGGAGCATCAACAGCAGGATCATCAGCAGCAGGAGCATCAACCGCAGGAGCTTCAGCACCATTCACCTTCTGTGTCAGGGCCAGAGACAGACTCAGTCAGACGTACAATGACACTTAAAAACTTGTATTTCAAATGGTTTTGTCAAATTCATTTGAAATTGTTATAAATGTTAACACTTTGCCTATTTCATTATCCACATTACAAATTCTTTAATGTTTTTATTCCAGCACAAGAGGTAGATCAAATTCCCAAAAGTAAGAATAGAAACTTGATTGTATCTGTAGAATTAAATATAAGGAAGATCATTATATTCCTATTACTTTTCATACAAATTTGAAATTTGATACAGCCTGGAAAGGCACTAACATTGGTTATATAAAGGACTAAAAAGGCAAATAAAGATGGAGAGAAGATCCTTTAGTTCAGAAACTCACCTGTTCCATGATATCATCCTCCTGCGTATGGACCCCCTGGAGGCTCCAGCTACAACCCAGGAGCAGCACCGAAAACAGAACCACTGCTTTTGTCATCCTGTCAGTCACTCTGTGCAGCTCTCTGAAGAAGAAATAATGGGAATATGGTTATCACTCAGTACCTCACCGTTTCTTATATAGGCTACTCCTCATCTCAGCTCAGTCAGGTTATCTACCTTTGTCTTGTGTTTACCGAGCTGCCCACATAGTATGTTGTAACCACTACAGCCAAACCAAAGGAACAATTTCGAAAATGTAACCTTGTTCTGATTGTGTCTGACCATTTAAGGAACATTGGACTTTAGAAATGAAAACAATCTGAGTATTTGTTTTGTAGTCAGAATGAGCCAAAGCCAACAAACATCTAACATGCATCTCATAAATTCGCAGAATGGATGAGTAGCAGCGGTTAACGGTGAAGACTTTCTGTGTTGTGTATTTCCCCAATAATGAAAATAAAAATGTCCAAGACATAGTAGTACAAGACAACAGAATGACCTCCTTTATTCTTTCGCACCATCATATTCTATCTACTTTTTGTTGTGTTGCATATCTCTCAAGTTCCATGTTTACCTGCTTCATCAAAATTTAGCACTTTGCTCTTTTTCTGATTTACTTGGCTGTAGTAAATATATGAGGGGGCACCACAACACATACACTGAGTCATAGGTCATTCACTCTCACCGAATGTTCATTTAACCTTTGCTGCCCACCTAAGGTTATATTAGACATAAGAGGTCATCAACATGTACATAATAACGCCTACTAGTAAATCATTTTTGTGTGTGTTTGTACTATATTCTATTTTTTAATAGTTGGTCTTTGAACAACCCAATCACTTTTTTTTTTCCGTCAGATTACTTTTGAGCTACAGGGCCCAGGACACCACATTAATCTTTTAATAATATATGACAAGAAAACAAAGATGTTCATGAGTTGTTTAATTTGTGATCTGTTTTTATAAACTTATGTGTAATTTGCAAGTGCTGACACAAAAATCACAACATTACTTTTTGGTGATCCTGGTGTCAAGTAGTATTAGTAGGGAGAAGGAGGAAATTCATTAGATACAAATAGCATTCCTTAAAGTTTAGATATTCAACACTGTTTCTTCATCACACTCTGTTAAACACGATGGTGTCGGGGTCCCTTCTTCTTCTTAATCTTCTTCTGTCAATGAGTAAAAAAGGTTTTGTTTAAAGTCACACAACAGATACTTTACAACAGCAGTATAATAAAAGGTATTTATATTCTTCAGACAATAACAGGTGTACATATTATCATTTAATGTATTTATTAAATGCTGCAACAAATGAAAGTGGAAGCATCAAGAGTGAAAAGAAAAGGGGTCCAAGAATTGAGCCCTGGGGTTACCCAGAGGTGATACGCTATGGATGATGATAATTTGTCATTTTTACTGAGAAAAACCAAAGCAAAGTGGAACATTGTGCTTTAAACTGAAATCAGAAAAAAGTGATTTGTCCCCGAGGGTGTCAGTTAGTGAAACAGGTTTTCATTTTTGAAACTTTAAAACTGTGTTCAGAATGAACGATAAGAAATTATGATTCTTATGTTGATCAAACAATAAGTTTACCCAAAACACTACATGTGACATGTGCAGGAGCCAAGTCATAATACATTTTATTTTCTACTTCCTATATTTATCATTGTTGGTGTCTGTTAAGAAGCTCCAGAAACAGGTCCAGAAGTGTACGACTCTCGGTTACACTTTAAATTTGAGGAAATCACTTCGATTTAAAACCTCTCAGAACATCAAAAATGTATTGAGGACAAATTCTAGTTTTATGAGCTATACAAGAAAGGGTTTTTTATGGTAACAACCCACTGTTAATATTGACTGTTTCTTGAGGGTCTATGGACCACTACAGGTACATACAAAAGATTTGACCTCTCAATAATACAGAATAGATCATATGATAATTTACTGAACTCCTTTATACACAGCATGTATGTTAATGTGTACATGTATGTTAAGACTTAACTCTGTCTTTGACCTCTGCACTTCATCAGTTTGTTTTTTTCTAGATAGGCTAAAATTACTTATAAACGTAGGAAAAGTTCTGTCTTAACATTTGTCACAGTTTTTCAAAGAGCAGGTGCTAGTATCAAAGTGATCCAGATACAGACTTTTTTTCACTGGTGAATCAGTCCACCCGTAACACCGCTGAAACAAATGATCAAAAATCATTGTTTTTTGTAGACTATTTAGATTCATATGTTACCACATCAATCCCTCTAAACGAATACAACTAAGTGAAGAAATGTTATCTTTTTATATAGATTAAGTACGCCACTGTTTTTGGTCAAGGTTTAATAAATGCTAAGTCCCCACATCTCTTTCTGATCATCCAACAATGAACAACAATATTCAAAGTCAAGTAAAGAGTTGCTTTATTGATCATCTTTGTCATATCATGTTCTTTAAGTGCTTAAACAAAAATCAATAATGTATTTATTGTTTTCCATTTGTAATGCCTCTAATTGTATTTCTTTAAAGGTGTAGATTGTCAGCAGTGTCGCTCCTCATCTCACTCAGGTTCTCCTTCTTGAAACAAGCTATCCTGTTGATGTGTCTTCAAACAGGATCTCAGCAATTCTCACAAGTTTTGGTTTTAATGTGGGCTCTTCTGTCAAAGGGTTATAATAAAAATGATTAGGACAGTGAAAACTTGTTTATGTGAACTGAGGAGCAATTAAGTTGTGGTTGGGATTGCACTCCTCACCTTCAGTGTGACAACTATGCAGGCAGTCACTCTCAGTCACAAAGTTGTTCTGGTTGCCGTCACAGCCTCCATAGGTGAAGATTTCACAGTTCATTGAGGTGGAGTTGTAGAAGTAATGGTCTAAAATTCCTTGCATGGACCTGTTTCTGGACCAAGCACACAAACCTCTGCAGCACGAGAGAGAGAGAGAGACAGAGAACATAACCATTAAATGTGTAATGGTTCAAGTCTTATGGTAAACAATGCAAGGTCTTTGAGGTGGATATGTAGAAAACTCTAAATATCTTGTAGGCTACATGCTGCTCCTGAAGTCTGTGCTCAAACCTCTACAGAAAGAGAAGAAATACCACAGAGAGAGCAGATGACAACATAATGCCTCAGTGTTTAACATCACTGCACAACTTAGTATAAACTTACTATGGCATGAAGTTAATCACATGATGTATATTTATCACTTACCCGTTTTGTTAAAGTCAGTTGCATTAACAGCAGGAGCTTCACGGCAGGAGCTTCAACAGCAGGAGCTTCAACGGCAGGAGCTTCAACATCAGGAGCTTCAACAGCAGTTGCATTAACATCAGGAGCTTCAACAGCAGTTGCATTAACATCAGGAGCTTCAACAGCAGGAGCTTCAACAGCAGGAGCATCATCAGCAGGAGCTTCAACAGCAGGAGCTTCAACAGCAGGAGCTTCAACAGCAGGATCATCAGCAGCAGGAGCATCAACAGCAGGAGCTTCAACAGCAGGAGCATCAACAGCAGGATCATCAGCAGCAGGAGCATCAACCGCAGGAGCTTCAGCACCATTCACCTTCTGTGTCAGGGCCAGAGACAGACTCAGTCAGACGTACAATGACACTTAAAAACTTGTATTTCAAATGGTTTTGTCAAATTCATTTGAAATTGTTATAAATGTTAACACTTTGCCTATTTCATTATCCACATTACAAATTCTTTAATGTTTTTATTCCAGCACAAGAGGTAGATCAAATTCCCAAAAGTAAGAATAGAAACTTGATTGTATCTGTAGAATTAAATATAAGGAAGATCATTATATTCCTATTACTTTTCATACAAATTTGAAATTTGATACAGCCTGGAAAGGCACTAACATTGGTTATATAAAGGACTAAAAAGGCAAATAAAGATGGAGAGAAGATCCTTTAGTTCAGAAACTCACCTGTTCCATGATATCATCCTCCTGCGTATGGACCCCCTGGAGGCTCCAGCTACAACCCAGGAGCAGCACCGAAAACAGAACCACTGCTTTTGTCATCCTGTCAGTCACTCTGTGCAGCTCTCTGAAGAAGAAATAATGGGAATATGGTTATCACTCAGTACCTCACCGTTTCTTATATAGGCTACTCCTCATCTCAGCTCAGTCAGGTTATCTACCTTTGTCTTGTGTTTACCGAGCTGCCCACATAGTATGTTGTAACCACTACAGCCAAACCAAAGGAACAATTTCGAAAATGTAACCTTGTTCTGATTGTGTCTGACCATTTAAGAAACATTGGCCTTTTGAAATGAAAACAATCTGAGTATTTGTTTTGTAGTAAGAATGAGCCAAAGCCAACAAACATCTAACATGCATCTCATAAATTCGCAGAATGGATGAGTAGCAGCGGTTAACGGTGAAGACTTTCTGTGTTGTGTATTTCCCCAATAATGAAAATAAAAATGTCCAAGACATAGTAAGTACAAGACAACAGAATGACCTCCTTTATTCTTTCGCACCATCATATTCTATCTACTTTTTGTTGTGTTGCATATCTCTCAAGTTCCATGTTTACCTGCTTCATCAAAATTTAGCACTTTGCTCTTTTTCTGATTTACTTGGCTGTAGTAAATATATGAGGGGGCACCACAACACATACACTGAGTCATAGGTCATTCACTCTCACCGGATGTTCATTTAACCTTTGCTGCCCACCTAAGGTTATATTAGACATAAGAGATCATCAACATGTACATAATAACGCCTACTAGTAAATCATTTTTTTGTGTATTTTTACTATATTCAATTTTTTAAGGTATTTATATTCTTCAGATAATAACAGGTGTACATATTATCATTTAATGTATTTATTAAATGCTGCAACAAATGAAAGTGGAAGCATCAAGAGTGAAAAGAAAAGGGGTCCAAGAATTGAGCCCTGGGGTTACCCAGAGGTGATACGCTATGGATGATGATAATTTGTCATTTTTACTGAGAAAAACCAAAGCAAAGTGGAACATTGTGCTTTGACCTGAAATCAGAAAAAAGTGATTTGTTCCCGAGGGTGTCAGTTAGTGAAACAGGTTTTCATTTTTGAAACTTTAAAACTGTGTTCAGAATGAACGATAAGAAATTATGATTCTTATGTTGATCAAACAATAAGTTTACCCAAAACACTACATGTGACATGTGCAGGAGCCAAGTCATAATACATTTTATTTTCTACTTCCTATATTTATCATTGTTGGTGTCTGTTAAGAAGCTCCAGAAACAGGTCCAGAAGTGTACGACTCTCGGTTACACTTTAAATTTGAGGAAATCACTTCGATTTAAAACCTCTCAGAACATCAAAAATGTATTGAGGACAAATTCTAGTTTTATGAGCTGTACAAGAAAGGGTTTTTTATGGTAATAACCCACTGTTAATATTGACTGTTTCTTGAGGGTCTATGGACCACTACAGGTACATACAAAAGATTTGACCTCTCAATAATACAGAATAGATCATATGATAATTTACTGAACTCTTTTATACACAGCATGTATGTTAATGTGTACATGTATGTTAAGACTTAACTCTGTCTTTGACCTCTGCCCTTCATCAGTTTGTTTTTTTCTAGATAGGCTAAAATTACTTATAAAAAGGAAAAGTTCTGTCTTAACATTTGTCACAGTTTTTCAAAGAGCAGGTGTCAAAGTCCAGATACAGACTTTTAAAGATCATAAACAACAAAGCGCACTTCTCACATCACAACTGTTTTAGCTTCACTGCACTGGTTGCCAATCTCTTTTAGAATTTATTTTAAAATGTTACCGACAGCTTACAAAGCCCTACATGGACTTGCACCCTAATATTCAAATGAGCTTTTAATTCCCTACTGCTCAAGCAGACCTGTGAGATCGGCTCCCTTGAGGCCTGCTCATCGTACTTGAGTCAAGGTTGAGGTCAAAAGATGATCGGGCTTTTTCAGTTATGGCACCTCTGCTCTGGAACAGGCTTCCCCTCAGCTGACTATGTGTGGGCGGCAGTAGCTCAGTCTGTAGGGACTTCGGTTAGAGACCAGAGGATCACCAGTTCAAGTCCCGGTGCGGACCAAATATGGAAGCTGGAGAGGTGCCTGTGCACTGCTGAGGTGCCCCTGAGCAAGGCCCCCTCCCCCTCCCTACCACCAACTCAGAAGCACCTGTTGTGGGCTGCTCTGTCACTCTGGCACTCTCTCTGTTAGTGCATGTCCATAGGATCCTGCTTCCACATGTGTGTATACTTCAGCTTATGTGTGTGTTCATGATTTACAGAGTGTAAAAACTGAAATTTCAATAAAGTTAATCTTAATATTATTATTAGATCTATAAAACCAGTGCTCTAAATGGGATTATAAACTACATACTTCGTCCAAAGGGGCGCTAAAATCAACCCAAAAAGACAGATGCTGACAGTTGCTTTTAGTTACTTTTTTCATTTTTTATACTAACAGTTATTGTATTTGCTTAAAGGTGTCATATGGGGACAAAAGTCCCCTGAAGTGTAGCTCGTCTATTGCGTTCATCCAGATTTTTGGATCAAAGTTTCACCCAACTACCTCAAAAACTTTAAACAACCCAATCACTTTTTTTTTTTATTAGATTACTTTTGAATTACAGGGCTCAGGACACCACATAAATCTTCTAATAATATATGACAAGAAAACAAAGATGTTCATGAGTTGTTTAATTTGTGATCTGTTTTCATAAATGTATGTATAATTTGCAAGTGCTGACACAAAAATCACAACATTACTTTTTGGTGGTCCTGGTGTCAAGTAGTATTAGTAGGGAGAAGGAGGAAATTCATTAGATACAAATAGCATTCCTTAAAGTTTAGATATTCAACACTGTTTCTTCATCACACTCTGTTAAACACAATGGTGTCGGGGTCCTTTCTTCTTCTTCCTCTTCTTCTTCTGTCAATGAGTAAAAAGGGTTTTGTTTAAAGTCACACAACAGATACTTTACAACAGTAGTTTAATAAAAGTATAGTCAAAACATTACAACTATACAGTGAAAAGATGTGTGAATAATTTTGGGTTTTTTTGTACGCCTCACCTTCAGTGTGACAACTATGCAGGCAGTCTCTCTCAGTCAAAAAGTTGTTCTGGTTGCCCTGACAACCTCCATAGATGAAGATTTTACAGTTCTTTGAGGTGGAGTTGTAGAAGTAACGTTCTACAAACGCTCTGCATAAACCTGTTTCTGGAGCTAGCACACAAACCTCTACAGCACGAGAGAGAGAGAGAGAGAGAGAGAGAGAGAGAGAGAACATATCCATTAAATGTGTAATGGTTCAAGTCTTATGGTAAACAATGCAAAGTCTTTGAGGTGGATATGTAGAATACTCTAAATATCTTGTACATGCTGCTCCTGAAGTCTGTGCTCAAACCTCTACAGGAAAGAGAAGAGATACCACAGAGAGAGCACATGACAACATAATGCCTCAGTGTTTAACATCACTGCACAACTTAGTATAAACTTACTATGGCATGAAGTTAATCACATGATGTATATTTATCACTTACCTGTTTTGTTAAAGGCAGCTTCAACAGCATTCACCTTCTGTGTCAGGGCCAGAGACAGACTCAGTCATTTGACAATGACAAAAACTCATATTTCAAATGGTTTTGTCAAATTCATTTGAAATTCACACTTTGCCAATTACATTGTCAACATAACACATTCTGTAATGTTTTTATTCTAGCACAACAGGTAGATCAAAAATAGAAACTCTATTTTATCTGTAGCATTAAGTATAAGGCAGATCAAAATTTTCCTAATATATTTCATTCAAATTTGAAATTTGATACAGCCTGGGAGGGCAGCAATATTTGTTATATAAATTACCAGTTCCATGCTATCATCCTGCGTATGGACCCCCTGGAGGCTCCAGGTCCAACCCAGGAGCAGCACCGAAAACAGAACCATTGCTTTTGTCATCCTGTCAGTCGATCTGTGCAGCTCTCTGAAGAAGAAATAATGGGAATGTAGTCACTGCCTTTCCTCGCTGTCTTTTAAAATCCTCATCTCAGCACAGTCAGGTTATTTACCTTTGTCTACCTTTTTTTTTATCCAGTTCTGTTTGTTTTTTGTACCTGGACTTTAGACATTTACAAGAATTGAGTGTTTGTTTTGTAGGAAAACTAAGCCGCAGCCAATAAATGATTATATTTAATTATAACAAAAATGTTAAGGAATCCAGAAGTGGTTGGTTGAATAATAAACTTACATCTACAGAAGACATAATAGGGCAGGAAATAATAGAATGTGCTTGATTACTCTTTAACAGTATGAACACATTTGTTTGTTGATGTTGCTGAACTCTAAAGTCCAGTGTCTACCTCCTTAATCTAAGGTTGAAGCAGAACTTTGATCTTTTTACTGATTTTTGTTTAACTTGGCTGTGGTCAGTTGAGCATGCATCATACCACATTAACAGGCGAATGCTGTGTGAGAGCTGAAGGGGATGGGTGTATAAGAAACAGTGAGACAAGGAACAAAAACCTAAGAAATATCTTTATGAGACATGTTGCTAATGTGATCTGATCACATGTGGTTGTCTTAACTTAAGGTCAAAATTTACCCAGGGCAGATTGAAGACAAATTTAGATCCAATCACTCAGGTCACATTCAGAGGTGCTCTGGGATACATGTGCTCACGGTGGTCAGGCAGTGGTCAGGCAGTGTGGTATTTGATCTCTCTCAGGTAACAATGGGCCCAAATAAATTAGCAAACTAGTTTGATATGCTGTTTCTGAGGTTATTGTTGTTTGTTTTCCCTCGCATCGTAGCCATTAAATATGACCTCATTTTAATTGGTGTCATGCTTAAGGTCATTCTGTATTCTTACCGCCCTTATGAAATGATTGAGGGAAAGGTGACAAGACAATGCATTGAAAAAGACTGGCTTTTTATGGCTAAAAGAATAAATAATCAAAGATCTAATGATTTTGTAAAAATGTATTATCATTGCTCACATTTGCAGGATACAAACCGAGCCACCTTCATCAAAACACAGGAATTAAATGAGGCTTCATCTCCTACACACCCACAGTTTCAATGACAGGTCATAGCCAGAAGGGGGTGGTATGGATCAATTTATTAATGATTGATACTTACTTTACACAATTTCAGATACATCCTCACAATTCTAAACAGATAATAACACATAACACTTCCTCATTTTCAACCTTGGCTCTTCTACTTTATGTCTAACTCTGAGCCCACTGCTTATGTCTGTTATTTTCACAAATTAGTCACTCATATAAATCACTGCATTCACTCATAACCACCAACACCCCCTCTCTCTCTCTCTGCTGTGAAGGAGCCAGGCTTCCTGCTCTTAGTTCCCAGAGTTCCCGGCTGCTGGCAGTAGAATGCTGGGAATATCCGGAGAGGAAAGGGAAGTGACATCACAGAGGTGACCTTCCGTATCAGGCCAAATCACCTGGTGGAGGCAGGAGGAGAGCTACCAAACAAGCTCAAAACACACTCACACAAAAAAATACCAGAAGATCCCACTATACTGTTTCACACTTTGGTTTGCTCTCCCAAAGAGGAGAGAGGCAATATTGTGAGTAAGTTCACCTGAAGAGAAAGTGGGGGGTGTAATAACATCAAGGGGTCATACAGAAAAAAAATCAAATATCTTTTTTAGGAAATCTTTTGAGTGACACTGCCATCAACTGCTTGATCATTGAGGAAAAAGTGTCCCCTTCCCCCACTGTCAGAAATAAGTTTGGCCTCAAGGTGGTCCACCATCCAGCTAGGATACTTGACCTTAAAGAGTTTGAGACATCAAAATTATAAGCCCAGGGACATTTCTTCCTTCCAATCCTTGTTTTATTTCAAATTCTCATTGATGACATGCTTATCATGCAAAAAAAAATGCAAAAATATGAGACATTCCTAAGAGCTGATCTTTATCACAGTCATTATATGTAGAGATATTTAATCAGATCAGAGAATATCAAAGATGCTATTTTATTTACACACAAAGGCTGGAAAACTTTCCACACAAATCCACATGCACAAACACTTAAAAGGACACTTGCACGCAACAAAAAATGCACAAGTCCCTTAAAGCCAAATTAGGCAGAAGAGGAGGTGGGATGAGTAGTGATGGTGAAAGGAGGGTGATGACAGAGTGTGTGTGAGTGTGTACGTGTTGGAGACGTCATTATGCAGGATGACAAAAGAAGCAAGAGAAGAAGGGATCTCTGGTCAGCTGCTGCTTCTGCCACTGTCTATTGTCCTGCCAATAGAGGACAACCCCCACCCACACACACACACACACACACACACACACCACACTTTCTTTCCTTCTTCAAGTTCAACTCTGATTTCATGGCCGACAACTGGCCGCCCCCAACGTTTACAGACCCTGTGATCCCCCTCCCCTAACCCCCAGCTGTGTCATCTCAGGTTTTGGTTTTTTTTAAAGTCTGTGATTCAACAGATGTTTCCTCCAAAAAATAAAAGTGCATTAAGTTCATGTAGAAAAAAAAAACGTTATTGAACTATTGCTCAAGCTGTCCTGATAACGTGTCAGGTGAAAGTGAAGACATTTGCTTATAGTAACCATTTTAATTTGTATCCACAGTAGTGATGTTCAGCTGTCTAATAAAAAAATATTAAAAAGACAAAAGATTCATATAAAATCAAATTGGAATACACTGTGTCATAACCCTTGGAAGCTCATGCAATTGGTACAAGCACTGTTTTGATTTAGCTAAAAACTTTTATTCTAAATGCATGCTTATATTAGTAAGGTATAAGCAACAATAGTCGAAATGTATCTATTATAAAAGACAAGCTTCAGAAACGAAAACAATTTCAAGACTTGTCTGGGCTTGATAACCAACCTTGTGGCTTTAAAAAGCTCCTGGGCTTGTACAGCTAACTGCATTTATAACTAAGCTAACTAGTTTACAAATGACAAACAACACTAATCAGCAGTGGTAAAGGGGAGGGGGGGATACTTAGGCCATGCTACCTTTCCCTAAAACAATTTCTCCATTAAATTAAAATGTGGAAAATATCAGAATCTTCCTCTGTTTGTTCCACGACTAAAGCTAGTAAGCTTGCTAAGCTACATATTTAACAGTTTGTTCAACTCTTCATTGCTGGCAAGCTAATGCTAGCTTACAGCAGTCTAATATTTTTAGACAAGTTTGTGGCTTAAAACCTGTTGAAAGTTTAAAAAAAAAAACATAAAAGGCCTATTATTTATCTGTGTAAAATGATGAAGGTAAGCAGCCTGCTAAAACCTTAAATAGGTCCACATTAAATACCGTATTTTCTGACTGAGGTACCTAATAACAAGGCAAATTTATTTTCCTCTGGAAAAACAGCCGGAAATGATCATAAAAAAATGGGGAGATGAAAGACTTTTGCAAACTTGTAATCCATTTGGCAATAGTATACTGAAAAGAAATATTGCGGTTATAATAATTTCTTTAATCAAGTGTTTCTGTTTGTAAATCACAACCCGCACGTGTGTTTATGTTGTTTCATAAATGACTTTATTTACTTGTATGAAGAATAAGTAAGCCTAAATGATTAATTTACTATAACTTAAGCTGTAAGTGACAACTTTTACACCCATTATAAAGTTTGTCGTTCTCGTAAGTGATTATCTGTTATATTCAAACTTCACTCTTGTAAATGTCAATGCACTACCCCTTTTATAAAATAGCAGAAGTGCATGAAAGAGGTGCTCAATTAAATTAACGACAGCGCTTGTAATTAGGTGTTTTCCACCCATGGAGAAGTTCCATTGTTTTTAATGAAGGATGTTTTATAAGAGGAGGCAATAAATTCAGCCAAGTAATAGAAGCAGCTATGAATGAAGCCCCTTTCTTCTCTTTGTGTGTGGTGTGTATGTATGCAGATCACGTAGCCTCTCAAGGTGCTGAGCTCTGCATTATCATTTATCTTCTTCCCTGGTGGTTTTTTTTTTTTCAGTCACTGTTTTAATGTACGTATTCTGTGTCTCTGCATTTTTGTGCATTTTAATCCAGACCAAATGACCCTTGACCAACTGACCTCAGGAATATTTAACCCTCTTCTGTCTCTGCACAGTGTGTGACTCTCTGGAACCATTCTCCATCGATTGGCCTTTCTTTGACACACACACACACACACACTCAGATTATATGACCATTCAGTGACACTGGCAGACAGACAGACACAATAGGAGAAAGCACATTCCTTTCCCCAGGTGGCATTAAAGACGTACCCGGATCATTGCCCTAATGTGCTCCAAACCAATGGCCGACGATCATTAACCCCTGGCGAGTGTGAGTTCCTCATAGCCCTGGCCAGACTATTGTGTGACCACCGTGTGTTCTTGTACGGACTATTGTGCAAGGGGTTCTAATGTCGTGTGGAGCTGGTTAACTGCTGGACGAGGGCTCTAACTTAGGGCATTAAATGATGGCATGTGTTGTCTTGGCCTGAGAAAAATGTGAGAAAACTGGACTGAAAAAGTTGTCGATGCTGAATGAGCTCTTCCTTAAAAGGCAGGATTATCACTTCATTTTCAGACTTTTTGACATTCTTTCTGAAGACAGGATTCTGATGTTTAGTTTTGAATTATGAGAATAGGAAACTTAATGGCCTCACACCATTAGATCATGGCTGATTTCTCCATCTAATGTGCATCACGGTGTTTGCAACACAGCGTCATTTATTGATCTACCAACACAGAGGAAAGTGGCTTGATCAATCATAGGTACAGAAAGCAGCTCTAGGTTCTGCAGCAGGACAGGTGAGTAAGGTTTTTGTATACTGTCTATTTCAGAACAGGTCTTTGAAAACCTTTTTTTCCTACTGAAGCGTATACAACAATGTGGGAATTAGGGGGTTTGCAACGACAACACTCCTAAAAGACATCAGATAGCCTAACACAACTTAGATCCTAACTTTAAATTGAAGCTATGCCTAACTCACAACTTTGTTTTCTCTCGTTGTTTACTTTCCCTCTCTTCCTCACCTCAACAAAAAAGATTCAGCTCTACAT